TCTACCTTGGGCAGGTGTTGGGGAATAGAGGGCTGGAGAGAGAAGAAAAATAATTCCCTCCTAAAACTTCTTCCTCACATTACACACCTAAAGGTTGGTCTGTGTTTCTAGATTTGCTTGAAATTAGTTCCTCTCCCAGATATATCCTTGGGTTACATTCATATTCTCTAGTAACAATGAAAGAGTTGAAATGGATAAGGCTTTGGGAGTTGTGCCTCAAACTTGACACGCATTAAACTTGATATTTTCCCCCTTTTGAATGTACAAAGTACAGCTAATAAATAACTGAGTAAATTTTGAAAACACAGGCTTAATCTGTGCTAAGTAATGTGTGTGTGTGTATGTATATACATATGTATGTATGATATATATATATAATAACTCATTTGATCCCAACTACATACTAAGAGGTAGCCATTATTATCTCAATTTTACAGATGAGATATCTGAAACTTAAGTTACAGTTTAAGTGTTGGTTAGGATTTCATAGTCCCTGCACTTAACTACTACAAATTACAATACATGCCTTCTAAAAAATGGGTTAAAGCAAAGCATAGGGTAGTTAAAAACAAAAACATCAAAGTACAATAGCAACAAAAGAGAATAACTGTAAAGGAGGTGGAGTCCCTGTTAGAAATATAGTTACAACTTGCTATCTATCTCCTCCCTCCCTGCAGCTATGCTAACAAGTGTAAAAGCCAAATGTGGCTGTTAAGAACCTAAGGAACCAAAAGACTTTAAAGCAAATTTCACTTGAAAGCAGGCAAAGAAAATATTAAATAAATAATAGATAAGATACTAATTAGAGCTTCAAGAACAAATAATTACCTGAGAACATAGTATCTTCAGAACAATGCTCCTTTTAGGATCAGGAAGCCCGTACAGAGTGCTACAGGCAGCTTTCAAAGCAGAATAATCTATTGAACAAACATGGCTGAAGTACTTAAACTGCATTCTAATCTATCTATTATTCTTATGACATAAAAAGAAAGATAAATGTTAAAGGCTGGCAAAAGCTAACAATAGGTAACTGCATTTTCTCACAAACAAATATCAAGTGCACATACTGTACTAAGTTCTTGTTAGGGGTAGTAGAGATGTCAAGTAGGACTAGAAGTAATAACATGGTTTGAACCACATGAGTAATGTAGCCCCCGCTCCATCCTTTAAGTTGTCTCTACCTAACTGGGAGGGTAAGAACATTCTTGTAAGTTGTTTTAAGGTAATATGTAATTGCCAAATAAAGAGAAAAGCAGTAAATGATAAAAACCCAGAGGAGAGAGATCACTAAGGGACTAAAATGGTTGAAGATGTCATTGAGTAGGTGGAATTGGAACCAGACCTTCATTTTTTAATTTTTTAAAAGTATAGTTGGCATACAATATTATATTAGTTGAAGGTACATAACACAGTGATTCAACATTTACACTTACAATCACATCATTAGGAACTAGGCCTTTAGAAGACAGAGACTTGAAAGGAAGCATTCCAAGTAGAAGGAATAGCCTAACAATATGCAGAGGCAGTAAGTCAGAAAGTGTTGCTTTGGAGACAGTTATAGAAACGAGTCTACATAGAGTCAAAGATTCAGTATTGGGAAGTAGTGGAAGATTCTACTAGAAAGATGGTTTCCAGCCTGGAGAGCCTTCAACACTAGGTTTAGGCATTCAATCTCCTAGGAAATGGAGAATCGAGTCTAGATCCTACAGACAATTCCTAAGAAATGATACTAAAGTACAGTGTCTCTAGATTTCCTCCATACCATCCCTTACTCCATTTGCCCCTTTATTTACCCAGGCATCTTTTTTAACATGGATAACATTGGTGTAAAGATGATAAGATAGCACATAATCTTCACACTGACATCTCTCTTATGCTTACTTAATACAATGGTATCAATGGCCAAGCAGTAACATATTTAACTCAAAAACAGAAACAGATCAACAGGAGAGATGTTCCCTGACAGGTTTCCCTTCATCTCCATGAACTGCCTGACTTCATCCCGCAGTTCATAAAACCTCATGAGCATGTTCCTGTGGCTCAGCCACCACACTTCACAGTTATAAACAAGATCACCGTACTCAGAGTGAAGATCATTCAGTAACTCCACAATGTGCTCCAAAACAATGCGATCCAAGTCTAATCCTATATTCAGAATTAGACACGATACCAAGGGGAACCATCAAACACATTTACTTTGTATAACCATTCTAATAATCAGAGAAAAAACTGAACCAAAACCTGCCCCACATTAAATTCTACTCTGCAATACAAATAATATCCAGAAACTCTTGCCTTGATGTCTGATGAAGACAGCTATAGTTGGTTAACTGTCTCTGAAACAATAAGTTGATGGTGTGTGTGTGTGTGTGTGTGTGTGTGTGTGTACATATATGTTAAATAAATAAATAAATAAATAAATAAATAAATAACAGGATATACATTTGTCTGGGATAAAGGCCCAGTCATTTTAGCTCTAGATATGGTAATTGGCCTGACTACCATTGCAATAATGCCTTGAAAAGATAAGCCCTACCCCTAGTACTCTGATTGTTATAGTCTCATTTCCTGGCATGAAGTGATATTTCTAGTGTCTTCAAAATTTTTAAACTTATCCAATCTATACGCTCATCAAAAGAACACCTAATCTTAAAGTTTGATGACAGAATTAAACAAATAACACCTTGAAAGGAAAAGTGAAACACACTATTTCTACCCTACCAAAACCCCCACACACACTCTAGCTGTTGAATTCATCCTATTACCAGAGCTAACAAGAATAGGTTCCATTCAAATTGTCCACAGAACCTGAGCTGCTCAGCTCTTCTCTCATTTCTTCCCCTCTCCATCTCCTCTGTAACTTACACACAACCACCTCACTCTGCTGTCTATCTTCCCCCAACTGCTACCCTACAATTCACAGGCTATCACAGATTGTCAGCACTGCGTTTGGAGACTTGAGAAGTACTCTTGTGGGACAGTGCAGTGCGTTAGTACATCATTTCCCTGAACACAATGTCACTCTTTATAGCCAGTTGCAAATTAGTTTCCTCTTTAAAAAAAATAAAGCTCCTAATAAGACAGGTACAAGGAGATTTTAAATAACCAAGATTAAAATTCACTTTGGTTTACTCTCAAGATCTGGGACATTTCAGAGTCATGCACAATGAAGTCCCATGCCTCTACTCATATGAGCCATACAAACCATCTAAGAATATCTGAAGTGAGCTTTCTGATACTAACAAAAGCAGAGACTACCAAAACCCTATCAAAGGAGAATTTTCTTTCCCTTTATCTATACCTATGGCTCCTCATTCTTAGATTCTATCTGAGAAGACTTTAAGGTCAGCTCTCAGCATCAACATTTACTTCTCAATTGCTGTGCAAAACCTTATTTAAAATTCTGCAAATCACCAATATCATTTCATTATAGTTTCCATCCTTTTTTTTTTTTTTTTTGCCACCTGCTTCAGCAGCACACAAGACAATTATCTTCTGACAGATGCTGTGACTGACCCTCTTGTTACCACTAAAGCCTTCACCCTACACATCAGCTTCCCAGTTGCTACTGTCTACATGTGAGAGTCAGAAGCTGAAATAGACTGAAAAGATCATCAGAGGATGTAGGTTAGAAAAACATCTCACAAAATAACAGGTCCTACCAATTTACTAAATTTTCTTTAAAATATTTTTAACTGAAAATAACACCTACAGAGTAATATTCAAAAACTGAAATCACTTTCACTAGATATCTATTTTTCATTTCCAAGTTCTTAGAGAGATTCATTCTGTTTTTTTGTTTTTTGTTGTTTTTTTTTTAATTTTTATTTATTGATTTTTGGGGAGGAGGAGGGAGAAAGAGAAACATCGATTTGTAGTTCCACCCATCCATGCATCCATCAGTTGATTCCTGCACGCACCACAACCAGAAATCAAACTTCCAACCCCAGCACACTGGGATAACACTACAATCAACTGAGCTACCTGGCCAGGGCTTCATTACACTTTACTGAAAACTTAATTGATTATCTATTCTTTAACCCAGGGGTGGGGAATGTCTACTGTATAAGGCCTGTGAAATCATTTTATCTGGCCCTGCCAAGGCATTAGAGATGAGTTAATTAAATGTTTGACCAAATACAGCAGGCTAATTTTTAAGTTGATAATTTTGTATGGCCCGAGAATGATGTTATAAATATCCAAAGGCCCTTGGCAGAAAACAGGTTCCCCACCCCTGCTTTAACCCTTACAATAACATTGCATCTTTGCTGATCCCTATATGAACTATAGGAAAGCTAGAGCCTAAAAGAATGGATATTAATTTTCTGTTTTTCCAGTGGAGAGAGACTGAAAAAAGCAAGGCTAGTAATCCCACTTTGAGAACTAATTCCATTATTTAACCAATCCCTGTTCTCTTTACAACAAACACCAAAATTAAGAAAGACCTAGAGAATAGAAGAAAATCTTCCAAAGAGCCTGTCTTTTAGGAAATTGCCACTTTCAAACTTGTTTTACATGCGTTACAACATAAAATGACGGAGAAGAAACAAAATATAAGCAAACAAATATTTAGAGTAAATGAACAGTCTTTCTATAAAATATGCATAAGCCCTGGCTGGTGAAGCTCAGTTGGTTGGGCATCGTCCTGAGCAATGAAAGGTTGCTGGTTCAATTCCTGGTCATTGCAGGCTTGATCCCTGGTAGGGGGCATGCAGGAGGCAGCTGGTCTATGTTTCAATCTCACATTGATGTTTCTCTCTCTCTCTTCCCCTCTCTCTAAAAATCAATAATTTTTTCTAAAAATACATGCATAAGTATGCTTAATTGACTTACCAAATAAGTGACATTTATTTTTTGAGCAATAAAACTCTATAACAGGGGTGGGGAACCTTCTTTCTGCCAAGGGCCATTTAGATATTTGTAACACCATTGGTGGCCATACACAATTATCAACCTAAAAATTAGCCTGCTATATTTGGTCAAACATTTCATTAACTCACCCCTAATGTGACGGCTGAAACTGCTTCTCTTGGGTGAGGCGTGTGATGTTAGCTGGTATTGATGAAGTTGCTACTCGCAACTGCTTTTCCAGGTTTGTGTAGATCAGTCTGGAGCGCAGTCGACTCTTTGTTATGGTAAGTTTTGAAAAGAACTGCTCGCAGCAGTAAGTGGTTCCAAACACAGATGCATATTTCAATGCATGTCTCCTCAAAGTGGGAAATTCATCGCTACTTAGGTAACATTTATAGAACTCAAGCAGTGGGACATTGTTGTACCTAGCTTTCAGCTCATCATTGCTTTGCAGCTGAATGATTTCGTGTTGTAGGTTATCAGGCACATCAGCTGGTTCTACACTGAATGGTGTAGCAAAGATGTTCAATTCCATTTGTTTACTTTTCACGTCCTTGAATCTTTCATTAAATGCCTCAATTAGTTTTTCACATTCACTAGCATATTCAAGTGTTGTAGAAGGCTTCTGTCCTTCCAGAGTGGGGAAATGCATTGTGTTATTCCTTTCCAGTTGCACTTTCCACAGCCTTAATTTAGCTTCAAATGATATCACCTCTGAAATCAGGGTGCTGAGAAGCTGGTTGGGGCCCTGTAACTTGACATTCAACTCTGAGAGGTACTTGGTAATATCCACCATGAATGCTAGATCACACAGCCACTTGCTGTCAATGAGTTCCCTGACAGGTTTTCCCTTCATCTCCATGAACTGCCTGACTTCATCCCGCAGTTCATAAAACCTCATGAGCATGTTCCTGTGGCTCAGCCACCGCACTTCACAGTTATAAACAAGATCACCGTACTCAGAGTGAAGATCATTCAGTAACTCCTTAAACTGGAGGCTGTTAAACCCTCTGCTTTTGACAAAATTTATGCATGACACTACTGTTGACATTACACTGTTAAGCCGCAATGACTGTGCACAGAGACTTTCTTGGTGTATGATGCAGTGGCATATAATTAAGTTACTTGGATCAAGACTAAAACGACTCAGTTCTTTCTTGACCAATGAAATTAACCCTTTTTGCGAGTCAACCATGGCTGGAGCTCCATCTGTAATAAGGCCACTTAACTTTTCAAAAGTTAGCTCAAATTTTTTCATTGATAAAACAAGTCTATCAAACAAATCCTCACCTCTTGTAGTGCCATGCATGGCTTCCAGTGACAGCAGTTCCTCACGCGTGTCAAACTCTGCAGTTATCCCACGAACGAAAACAGCCAGTTGGGCAGTATTTGTTATGTCCGTTGTCTCGTCACAAGCCAGAGAGAAAAACTGGAAATCTCCTGCAGAATTCTTCAATGTCTTTTCAATATCTTGTGCTAAATCAGTGATCCGATCTGAGACGGTTCTCCGAGACAAACTAACACTTTGAAACAATTTTACTTTGTCTGGTGCTAACAACTCTGCAGCAGCCACCATGCACTCTTTCACAAACTCTCCCTCTACATGAGGCCTCAGCTTCTTTGCTATTAGCTCACTCACTACATAACTTGTCTGAATAACGTTGTCTCTGTCACAACGAGGCTTAGTGAAAGCAGCTTGTTGTAATTCCAAACTCCGCTGAAGAGCATTGATTTTATCCAGGCGCATTTGGCCTCCCAATTCACTGAGTTTAGCATGTTTTGAGCTGTAATGACGCTCCAGATTGGCTCTTTCCATTACTGCTAACATATCGCCACAAACTAGGCACACAGGTTTGCCTTTGACTTCAACAAAAAAATAATCATTTGTCCATTTCTCTTGGAAAGATGGACGCTCTGCATCAACTTTTCTCTTCTTTGTAGTCGCCATTTGTAGGATGTCACACCACTTAAGTTTTAATAACTATCCTGTCTGTGTGTTGATTATTTTGCTTTAACTGCTGTTCTAATCCTGCATTTTGGATTTGGAACATATGCAATGTTCGTATCATCATGTCATCGACACTTGAGGTCTTTTCTGTGTGCTGCTGTAATTTCATTAATCTTCATCTGAGACTGTTTGGGGGAGGATTGTTGATGGTAGATGTGTGGATAAAGGTTGGATTGGAGTTATTGTCTGTGTTAACAAAGTCGACAACATCGTCTTCAATCATCAGAGGCAAGATCCTCAACATTGTGAGGAATCATCTCATAGCATCTCATCTCATGACTGATCGCCATAGTTCTGTGTTAACACTGTCCCAACATGTACACTCCCAGCCTGCCTGTCACTGACTGTCCTCTGAGTCACCACAATACAGACAGGCAGGCGTAGGTCAGCAGACAAGAAGCTTTCATGTACTCCTCCGTGTCTTGTCTATCTTGTAATGGATGTTCCTTCGTTCCTTGCTTGTCCCTCAAAATTTACATTATTGCCCTGGCCTATTGCTCAGTGGTTAGAGCACTGGCCCACAGGTGAAGGGTCCAGGTTTGATTCCCAGTTAAGGACACTACCTGGGTTGCAGGCCCGATCCTGGCCCAGTTGGGAGTGTACAGGCGGCAACATATCAATGTGTCTCTCTCACAACGTTTCTCTCTCTCTCTATTCCCCTACTTCCACTCTCTCTAACAAAACAACAAAAAAATCAATGGGAAAAAATATATCCTCGGGTAAGGATTAATTAAAAAAATTTTTTCATTATTATGATTCACTTAATATAAACGTATGTTGCTATGAAAAAAGCTCCTACATCTTGAATTTCGAGTCCTGCCTGCGGTTGCCTTGGCAGGGCCAGAACAAATGATTTCAAGGGCCTTATACAGCCCATGGGCTGGATGTTCCCCACCCCTGCTCTACAACAAACAGACTCTGTCTGAAGAAAAATGGTACAAAAATTCCTTTCTGATAGATGCAGCAGCCTCACCTGGAAAATAATAATAATAAAAGTCATTTTTATAAAAATGTGTAATCATTTCTTTGACACTTGCCTGTGCACTTAACTTACATTATCTCATTTCGTGAATACTAAGAGTTTAACCCAGGATTTACCACAGATTTTGCAAGAAAAATAAATACACACACAAAGTACTTTTTAGAAACTCAGCAACAAAACAGAATAAAGAAATGTTATCTTTCATTCTCGGTCTTCTGAGAACTGGTCTGAGGGGGCAGAAACACCAATTAACTGCCATTGAAAAAAAAATAAAAGAGGTGTACAAAACAAAATAATGCAAATGATCAAAAACACAAAAAGACATTCAACTTCCAGGCATTACTACAGTTCTTATAGGATGACACATAGTGGATGCTCAGTAAGAATATGCTGAATAGAAGTTTGAATAGATGGATAAAAAATAAGCATCATCAGTTAGCAAAGAAATAAAAAATAAATATATTCTTTAATGCCTTTCAAACTGGCAAAGATTTTTTAAAAAGCGGTAAGATCCTGTTTTCGTGAATGTAGACTGAAAAATTACATAGAATGAAAAATTATACACAACTTTAATGTCCATCTATGTCGGCCAGAGTAAATCAATTATGGAACATCTATATCATGGAAAACAATGCAAACATTAAACAGAATAAAGTAGCTCTACAAATATTGACATAAAGATCTATAAACATGTTAGTAAGTTTTTTAAATGGAAAATTTAACAAGTATACAAAACCAATAAAAAGAAAACATTCCTGTGACACTAATATAGATTTGAACAAATAGATATTCCTTGTTCTTAGATAGAAAACTCAACACAACTCAACATCATCCAGATGTCAGTTCTCTCTTCATTAATTTATGAATTTAACATAATCCCAATAACAATCCTAATACATGCAAGCTTTTTTATGGCGACAGCTGCTACTAAAGTTCAACAGAAAAAACAAACATGTAAGAATAGCCAATAACTCAGTAGAAATTTTAGAAGCTAGCCCTCGATATACTATAATTAAAACTGTAATAATGGTGCAGGAATACAAACTGGTGCAAAAGAACAGAAAGTCCAGAAATAAATTCAATGGAAACTTAACATATGATAAAGGTGGCATCTCAAAACACAAGGGCAAAATTGTACTTTTTAAAGAAAACATGCTGGGACATTATAAGTTCACACAATATTCATTTAAAAAAACTTCAAATGAATCTGAGATCCAAACATAACTAAAATCATACAAGTACTAGAGGAAAATGTGTAAATTCCTTTTTATCCTGGGTAAAGGAAAAGGTTTCCTAATTATTACCCAAAATTCTGATGCAATGAAAAATTGGACTACATAAAAGTCTAAACAAATACACACTTACACCCTAAAGAAACAAAAGACAACTGGCAAACTGTAACATATATCATTTATAACGAGCTAATTTCCGTAGCGTATTTTTTTTTATTCTTAAAAATTGAGGGAGGGAAAAAACCTGATAGAAAAGTGAATAGAAAGATACAAGAGCCCTGCCAGTGCGTCTCAGTGGCTAGAGCACCCGCCCGCACACCAAAGGGTCTCGAGTTCCATTCCCAGTCCAGGAAACATACCTGGGTTGTAGGTTTCCCAGGCCCCAAGGGAGGCAACCAATTGATAATTGATGTGCCTCTCTCATATCGATGTCTCCCCACTCCATCCCCCCATCCCTAAAGATTAATGGAAAAAGTATCCTCTGGTGAGGATTAACAAAAAAAGACACAAGACAATTCACACAAAAAAGATATATTAAAATGACCTTCATGCATATTTTAGAAAGATGTTCAAACTCACTAATAAGAGAGGTGAGTATTAAAACTATATGGATACCATTTCTTACCTATAAGGTTAACAAAAATTAAAAGGTATAAAATAACACTCTGATGGTAATGTTGTCGGGAAACTAACACTCTCATACATTACTGATGGGAATTCAAATGTGTACAGCCCCCATAGAAAAAGATCTGGCAATATTTTAAAACTATATATGCTTTTAAACTTTTGACCCAATCATCCCATTTTAGGAATTTACCCAAACATACACTTCCAACATATGAAAAGATATATATGGACAAGGTTAGTCACTGCAGCACTGTTTGTCAATGCAAAATATTGGAAAAAGCATAAGAGAATGGTTAACATCCTCACAATAGAGTATTATGCAACTGTAGGAGGAAGGAAAAGACAGAGGGAGGAAAGAAGGGAGGAGAGCAAACTCTATAAATTGATGTGGAACGGATTTCAAAATATGTTAGGTGAAAAATGCAAAGTACAAAAGAGTATCTATCTATACCAGTACTATGGTTTCTTTTGTGTAAAAAAGAAGAGAAAATAAGAAAATATACCTGTATCTCCTCATTCATGGGGGGAAACACATAGGAAGGATAATTCAGAGAATGATGACATTGGTTACCTATCTAGAAGGTAAGCATAAACAGGGTAGAAAAGAAAGGATTTAAAAAAAAATGGGTGACACTGCTCTAAGTATATTTTTATACAATTCTGACTTTTGGAAGACTATTAATATTTCACATACTCAAAAATAAGTAAGATCAATTAGGATGAAGAGAAAAACTTAAAATGCAAATAGAACTGAACTGTACTTCAAATGACTAAGATAACCATGCAAGGGAAAGAATAATATTGGGGAGAGAAAACTAATCCAAGTAACTTTTGAACATGGTTTTTATATCAGTAATGTCCAAAAGTAACATAAATAATTTAATATTTTCTAGTAGCCGCATTAAAGTAAAAATAGGTAAAACTTTATTAATATAATTTATCTGATATAGCTTAAACATGTCAATATATAAACAATATAAAAAATTGTTAAAATATTAATTTCTTATTTCATACTAAGTTTTCAAAATCCAGTATATATTTTGCACTACGACACATTTCAATTTATGTGGTTAGTGGCTACCCTGTTGGGCAGTGGAGATTTACTAGTAGACTAAATGATTATGCTTTAGATTTATGCTAAAGGAAAAAACTATCAACAAATATTGAACTCTATTTACTAGGTGTCTTTCATACCTTTATTGACTTCAGAGAGGAAGGGAGAGGGAGAGAGAGATGGAACATCAATGATGAGAGTCATTGATCGACTGCCTTCTGCATGCCACACACCAGGGACCCGGCCCACAGCCCGGGCATGTGCCCCAACCAGGAATCAAAACATGGCCTCCTGGTTCACAGGTTGGTGCTCAAACACTGAGCCACGCCAGCCAGGCTACTCGGTGTCTTTTAAATAGTGGTATGAGCTAGCAATTTTTAACCTATTTTTCTGATATTCTAGAATTGAGCCAGTAAGTAAAAACATGAATAATGGGGCTAGGTTTCTGTTAAGAGGAGGAGTTATAAAGATAAAATGAAGGCTAGAATAAATTCTGTAGTGTTGGATTAGAATCAGTGGTGTAGACACAAACACACGTATTCCTATATCACATGTATCTATTTCCCAGATACCTGCTAAGAGGGCCTAGAAGTAATGACACACAGCAGCAATGAGGACATCTAGAATCCAGGTCCTGGCTTATAATGCCATTCTCTATTAAAAGCAACCAGAGATCCTTGAAAAAATAACTCATTCTAAGGCTTGGGCTGGGAAAGTCTAGGATGGGCCTAGAACAGCCATGGGCAAACTACGGCCCGCGGGAATAAAACTAAAAAAAAAAAAAAAAAGACCGTACCTTTTTATGTAATGATGTTTACTTTGAATTTATGTTAGTTCACACAAACAGTCCATCCATGCTTTTGTTCCGGCCCTCCGGTCCAGTTTAAGAACCCATTGTGGCCCTCGAGTCAAAAAGTTTGCCCACCCCTGGCCTAGAACATCTTGTTGTGGTAGAAAGTAGAAAATTATTAAAATAACAAGAGCAATCCGAAAGGAGACAGATCATCTTAGGGCTTCCCACTGGCCAAATCAGGGACAGCATCAAAATAATGAAGTAAAGTAGTATTATAAATAAGCATAGGAAAATGATGGAATTTAAAAAATCATCATTTAGAAACCATCATGAAAATGATTCAGACAGAAATCACTAATAGATATTAAAATCAGTGAGTAAAAGTTCAAGAAGTAACAGAATATATTTATAGTTTCAAGTATTTTGTCAAAGATACGTCAAAATTACAAAATGTGAATGTAGTTAACTTCAGTTAAAATGACTAAATGGTATATTTTATGTTATATATATTTTATCACCAAAAAAACTATGAAAGAAAAAACAGTTACTTCACACTAGAAAACCTAGCAGACATTACCTTAATGAAGTCATAACATTACTTCTGTGGTACTCCTGCCAGAAATGGATAACCTGAATCCAATTATGAGAAAATATCAGATAAACCCAAATTAGAGGCATTCTACAAAATAACTGGCCTGCAGTCTTCAAAAATGTCAATGTCATGAAAAGAACAAAGAAAGACTGAAGAAATGCTAGAGATTAAAGGAAACTAAAGAGCTATGACAACTGAATGCACTTCATGATCTAAAATTTTCTTTTGCTATAAAAATACATTATTGGAGCAATGGGTGAAATCTGAACAAGTCTATAGATTAGATGGTAATATTAAATCAGTGTTAATTTCAGGATTTTGACAACCGCACTGTGGTTACATAAAAGAATGTCCTTGTTTTTAGAAAATGCACTCGCAAATATTTAGGTATGCCAGAGAATAGGTCTGTACCTTTGCCTCAAACAGTTCAAGACACACACACACACACACACACACACGAGAGAGAGAGAGAGAGAGAGAGAGAGAGAGAGAGAGAGAAAGAGAGAGAGAGAATATCTGAGGTACTTGGGTAAATTTTTTGCACATTTTGTGGTCTGCAATAATGTCAACATAAATTAAACAGGAAAAAAGAGATGTTAAGCACAGTACTTGGCATGTAATCTGCATAAGTGATAGCTATTAGACGTTGTTTTGTAATCCAGAATATTATCTCTGGATTCTGCCCCCAAAAAT